TGAGCGTTACATCGGCACTGTTCTGTTTTTACAGTATTGCCTCATTTAGTTCTCAAAATAGCTCTCAGCAGAGGACACAGATATCCAGAAAGACGCATGCTTGTCCACAGTCCCAGAGCTGATCAGTGGCAGAACGGACTCTAAACTCAGGCGTCTAGCCGTGGCAATCACATCTCTTAAGAACTTTGCAATTTTTCTCTGTATTGCTCCTTATAAATTTAACTTTTGAGCAGTGCATGGAATTACACTGTTACATAGTAATGTGGTGTTAAGCCATTTTAAAAGAAATGAACCCAAAGTATCTTGAGACTATGGAAATACCATAATCTTCTTTGCCCGAAGCACTACGATGCCTTAAAGCTTTCTCCGTTTTATTCTTGGTGTATTTTCTTTAGTATGTTCACCTCCTTGCTGGTTAATTCCTCCATAGCTACTTTTAAGTTTTCTCTTATGTTGGATCTTCGTGCCCATAGTTTTAGAAGACTTTCCTGATGACCTGTTGTAGAAACAGGCCTGGGAAGACTTGCAAGACGAATTAGTCACAGGAGCTGACATCAGAGTGTCTACCAGGGTGTTTCAGAGGTCAGATTATGCTGTTCCTTTTTGAACGCTGCTGGTGATATTGCTAGGTCAGGAGATCATTGCTGATTTTTTTGAGAAAATGAATTTTTTGTGACTTTCTTTCCTTTTGTAGGAAGATCTGTTTCAGCAACCAGGCCTGCGGTCTGAATTTGAACATATCAGAGACTGTTTGGATACTGGAATGATTGATAACCTCTGTATCCTTCAGCCTTTCAGGTGTGTGCGTGTGCATGTATGAGTGAGTGAGTGTGTAGCGTGTGTGTGTGCCTGTATGAGTGAGAGAGGTGAGAATAGAATATTTTAAGACTCAAAATCTGATATTGTGTCCTCAGCCGTCATGTTTTTCTTACTTAAAGTTTGCATGGAAAAGTGTTTGATAACTTTAAGTAACCAATATAGCAGGAAGCCAGGAGGGCCTGACTCACCTGACAAGCACAGTGACCCCTTTGAAGTGTCAGATTGGCATCTTAGCTCTGAGCTGAGCAGAGGACCTGACTGGGCAGGCAGCACTTATGGCGTTGCTTGCTCCTAGCCCTTTTGCTACCCGTGGGCAGCATGAACACCTGTTCCTTAACGAGGGGTCAAAAGCTGCTAGCAATCATTCCGTAGCCGAAGCCTTGCTGCTTTTCCTGGAGAGCCTGCCAGAGCCTGTCATCTGTCACAGCGCCTACCATAACTGCTTGGAGTGTTCTGGCAACTACACAGCAAGCAAACAGGTGAGGGCAAGTGTTAAGCATCAGCACGTGTCTGTTGCTAGCCCCTGGACTCCTGCGGCCTGAGGGAACAGATAGACATGGCCCCTCAAGTGTAATGTCTTAGAAACCCCACACCATATCTTTCCTTCTGAAGCCACTTCTTTCTCTCGTGTCCCTTTTTCTTTTAATGGCATCATCTTTAATTCTAGTGACTCAACCCCAAAACCTGAGTCACTTCTGACTCCTCCCTCTCCTAACCTCCCACATGCTGGATCCCATTTATCTATCTGTCACTCATCCTCTCTTTCCATGCTCATGCTACTTATCTTGGTTCAGAGCCCTGTATCAGGCTCTCCCTCAGCTGATTTGTTTTGTAGAGTGCCATCAGATTGTGTATTCTAAAGTACTTGCCATGTTATTGTTGGTCAAAAATTGTACTTCGCTCTCCATTGCCAATTAATTACTTTCTTAAATATTCAAGACTTTGTATGCTCAAATCTAGTGGTTGACACATACGGCAGGCCCTGGCAGAGTAATACAGAATGCCTGCCAAAAATATAGGTTCCAGAGCTTGACCCTCGAATCCACTAAACCAGAATCTGTTTCATACAAGCTTCCCAACTCATTCTTAGATGCAGATAGTCAGGGTACTCAATAGTTTCTGGCCTGATCAAGCCTTAGCTCCTGTTACAAGTTATGCTTCCTTTTCTTACCTTTTTCATAAACGTCCTTTGCACTAAATACCCTAGCCCTTACCTTTGCCAAGTTCAATTTTGTCTCATATTTGAGACCCAATTAAAATGTCTTCTATTTTCTTAAGTCTTAAGTTAGAAGTTTGACCTCAGATCTGGTGTTGTGGTGGAACGGGTTAAGCCACTGCCTGCAGTGCTGGCATCCCATATGGACACTGGTTCAAGTCCTAGCTGCTCCACTTCTGATCAAGCTCCCTGCTAATGCACCTGGGAAAAGCAGCAGATGATGGCCCAAGTCCTTGGGCACCTGTACCCACGTGGGAGACCCAGATGAAGCTCCTGGTTTTGGCCTAGTTAAGCCTGGGTGTTGCAGTCCTGTGGGGAGTAAACCAGAGGATGGAAGAGCTCTCCCTCTGTCATTCCCTCTCTCTAACTCTGACTTTCAAATATATATATATATATTTTTTTTTTTTAAATAGAATTTTACCCCTAAATTCATGTACTATTTGACCTGTGCTTTTCTCTTGGTACCAGTGGCATTGATCAAAGTTTTCTGTGTACAGTATGACTCATACTTCTGTCATGTCCTCAGTTCTGGAATATAGTGGGAATTTGATGAATGAACAAAAAGATAAATCTCAGTTCTCCCTCCCTTTTTCAGGTAATTTCTACTCTTCCCACATTCCACAAAAATGTCTTCAACTACTTGATGGCCTTTTTGCAAGAGTTGCTGAAAAATTCAACAAAAAATCACTTAGATGAGAATATCCTAGGTAAGCAGCCACGTTCTGTGGAAAGCATCCTTGCAAACTCTGAAACTTAGGTTGAGAAATGAGGTTGTGGAGAGAACCAAGTCCATCACGACAGAGCTTAAACCTCAAGCTCCGAGCAAAGTTTACACTCAGTGTTGTTGTTGTTAAACAGAAAATACTGCTTCGGCCACCTTTCTCCCCTCCTAACAACACAAGAGTGAACAGTATCCTCTTCTGCTGAATAATTTGTCTTCTGTGTTTTCTCTTGCAGCTAGCATATTTGGAAGCTTACTGCTTCGAAACCCGGCTGGTCATCAAAAGCTTGAAATAGCAGAAAAGAAGAAGGCCCAAGAGTTTATTCACCAGTTCCTCTGCAACCCTCTCTGAGCCTGTCTCCTTCTTGTTTTACCTGAGGCAAGCAATCACTAGCCCCACCTGTTGCAACTCCAGCGATGCCTTACCCTGATATGAGGCCACCTGGAAGGAAGAATGGCAGCTGCCTGTTTGCTGAGCCTAGCCACCTTTCTCTCACCATTGGTTGGCACACGCAGTGCTACTGTGAGTTGTGACGATGTGGGAAAGAGCCACCATAATAAAACTGACACTTGATGTTCTCACCCTTACTTCTTTAACACAGATAATTTCTACTCATTTTTTATTCAAGAAAAAATTAAAAAAAAAATAATTGTACTTGTGTTCACTCAACCAGTCTCCAGGGCATAGTCAGTGCCTTCCCTGTTGCCTGGCCTGAGCACCCCATGATCAGATATTTGAACACGTTTTGGAGTCCTGAAAGGAGGATGAGTTGGACAGCAAGGACACAAGAGGTGCTGCTGGACCAACAGGCCTGGACCACCCCAGACACTTCTTCCAGGGTTCTGAGGACACGGATATACGCACAAGGAGACTCTGCCCCCTTCCTGCCCAGACGTGACCCAGTGACTCTCAGGCTGGTCACTCAGCCTCTGAGGGCAATGCTGGGGCTTAAAAATGTCAGCACTGAAGCAATAGGTGTTCTGGTGAAGCAAGTGGGAATTTCTGGGCCAGCAAATCCTCTGTCATGTAAATAATGCATACTCTCACATGTGTAATATATTTTAATGATAAATATATTTTTAACAGCAGTTGTGTGTTTTCGTCTGTTAAAGAGATGGCAGCTCTCAGCAGCTGGGCGTGTGAGGCTTACGCGCTGGGGCAGCTGGTCAGGGCCCAGAAAGACATATTCCTGGCAGCCTGCTGGGTAACAGTGTTCGGATTCTTCAAGCAAGAGGTGGAATGGTGCCGCCATGGCCTGAACCCCTTGACGTCTGGTCTAGTCTGGGGCGGGGGAGGTGCCATTCTGAATATTCTAGAGGTAGCTTACGACAGAAACAAGCAGAAACTGCCGGGAGAATCTAACAGCGACACTTTCCAGGCATTCCGAAAAGCATGAGGGAGACACAAGCAACATCGCCTCCCGGCCGTGTAAAACGTGATTTACAGAGGGGCCAGTAGGATGACAGGGCGAACGGTTGGGGACGGGGCGCGGCCAGTAGGTGGCGTTGCCCAGCCCGGGCGCGAGCCCCGTCGAAGCCGGGAGAAGTGGGGACAGCGTGGGCAGCAGTCCGAAGAGGAGCCATCTGGGCATTTTAGGAAAGCGTGCGAGGCGCCAAGTGGCGGCCGCGTCCTTCCCGGCTGGCTCGGGATGCTCCTGGCGCTGCCTCCGTGTGCAGTCTGTCCTTCCTGGACCCTTCTGCCCACGTTAACTCTGAGAGGAAGTTGGGGCTGTCCAGGGAAGAGTCCGAGAGCGCCACGGCCTCTCAGGCTGCCCCCTCGCGAGTGCGAGCCGGCATTCCGACGGCCCAACTATGGGCCTCCGCGTTGCAGTTGCGGCGCCAGGGCGAGGACGGCCAGCGCAAGCCGAGCTGTGGACATTTTGGACTACTGTTTGGGGGTTCGCTGCCTTTCTCTTACGTCCGGGGACACCCAGGGCGCTCCCCGGCGCTGGACGAACTCACTGCTGGGGTGACGTCCCGCGGTGCCCCGCCCCGCCCCTCTCGCCCGCCAATTGGAGGCTTAAGCTCGGCCCCCGACCGCCCAAGCCAATCAAAGTAGCGGAGCTACTGTCCCCTCCTTCCTCCGGAAAGCGGAAGCGGAAGTGACGTTAGGGGAAGGTGGGGGTAATCATGGTGCCGCTGGGGAGGGGAGAAGCTGCTGCCGCCGCTGTTGCCGGGAGCCGCGGAGGTAAAAGGAGAAACTAGACGTGGCTTGGGCTTGGGACTTCCCGGGAGGCTTGGGACTTAGGCTTCCTCCTGAAGAATTTCCCATTAGATACCTCACTCTGGCACCACAGGGACCCCACCCCTTCTTCGTTTCCATGGGGATGGGTATCCAGCCCCCCTTCCCTGTTTCCATGGAGATCCGGACCCTGCCCCTCTCGCCTGACTGGAACCCCCCAGCCTGCCTTCGGATTTTTCCGTGTAGCCCTGGGCTGAGGGCTGTCCCAGAGAGGTCCCTTTTCCCAGCCTCGTCTCAAGGGTGCTGTGTTCGCACTCCTCGTTGGCCACCCTCAAACCTCCTGGTCTTGTTTGTTCCGGACAGTCGGTCTCCGCGTTGCCGCCGAAGGTGCCGAGGCAGCCCACGGGGGCCCTCGGTGCGCTTATCTCTCCTCTCAGGTGCAGCGAAATGTGCGTCTGTGAGATTGCGTAAGCCGGAGCAAGGGGTCGGGCCGGTTCCTCCCGGATCTGCGCCCTCGGCCTGCCTCTGGTCACTGCCTCTCTGCCTAGCCGCCCCGGCGTGGGAAGGCTTACTTTCTAACCCTGAGCGGAAGAGAAAGATAAAGTGCAAAGCCAAACGGAAAACTGAAAGTGGTGTGCTGATGGTTTTTAAATTCCGCCTTGCCTGCCAAACCCGCATTTGTAGAACCTGTGTTTTGGCAGGTGAGAGGAGAATCACTATTCCAGACCATGAAAGATTCAAATTTAGCGTTTTTCTCCAAGAGGATGTATCCTTGTCAGGAGAGTGTGTCTTCCCGAGAGAGTAGATCTGCATGTCTTTCATTCATTTAGCTGACATTTCCTCAACTCCGTGTGTCAGCGTTCTGTGCGAGGGGCTGTAGAGACAGAAAGAAGTGAGGCTCAGCATTCCCTCAAGACAGAGAGCCCACCGTACAAGCACAGCTTCTGGTCCACGCCCTGTTGTTTGAGGACGAAACTAGATAAAAAGAGATCTAAGGGCGATGTCCCTGCCTAGGAGTTAGCCCCTCCACATAGAAGCTGAAAAGTAGGTTCTAGGCAGGAGGCAAGGAATGCACACTCCTCCCTCTGCTGTGTGTCAACTTCTGCCTTGCATACGTTCCGTATTTTATTCCTCATCACAACTTTCAGAGAACAGGAACTGCCAGTCCCACCTTAGGCTTTAAGAAAAATGGGGCCCCGAAAAGCTACTCAAGTAGTGAAGGGAGAAGCCAGGATTTGTAGGTGGAGCATTGCCTCCCATGCCTTGTCCCCTCCCATGTAGGCTGCTGGAGGCTTGTGCACCACCTCGTGGGGAGGGTCTGAGGACATTTGAGTGAGGTTACCTTACTTTCAAATTTGTATTGAAGCAGCCACTGTTCCGCTTGTTCCTTTATTCCCTTTGGGGATTTTGTCCAATCTTCACATGGTTTGAAAGTAAGAGATATTTGGAAGGTCTTAGGAACTGCTGCTTATTACTTCAATTAAAAAAATGATCACTTATTTTCATTTTATTTGAAAGGCAGAGAGAAAAATATCTTCCATCTGCTGGGTTATCCCCCAGATGTCTGCAACAGTCAGGGCTGGGTCTCCTGAGTGAGTGGCAGAGGTGTCATTGATTCCTCCCAGGGTGTGCATTAGCAGGAAGTTGGATTGGAAGCAGGGGGAGCCAGGACTCAAGCCTGGGCAGTCCCACATGGGATGCAGGCAACCCCAGTAGCTACTTAACTACTGCCCAGTGCCTGCCCCGTGACTTCAGTTTTTGAAAAAAGACATTGCTTTTACTTAAAAATACATAATGGTATTTGTTGTGTTCAGAGTTAAAATTTTAAAAAATTATTCCTGAAGAAGATAATTTTCACGTGCTTTTGGCCCGTTGTTTTGGTGACAGGGGCAGCGAACCCTGAGGTTGCTGGGGAGGTCTGCGGGTCTCGCTGGGCGGCTCTGACTTTGTTTTCTTCTGTTGCAGGAAGGCCGTTACCCTTTCACTTCTCACAATTGAGCTGAGCACGACTGAACCATGGGGGAGCACAGTCCGGACGACAACATCATCTTCTTCGAGGCAGAGGATGATGAGCTGACCCCCGATGACAAGATGCTCAGGTTCGTGGATAAAAACGGACTGGTGCCTTCCTCATCCGGAACTGTTTATGATAGGACCACTGTTCTCATCGAGCAGGACCCTGGCACTTTGGAGGATGACGATGACGACGGACAGTGTGCGGAACACTTGCCTTTTCTTGTGGGGGGTGAAGAGGGCTTCCACCTGATAGACCAGGAAGCAATGGCGCAGGGTTACGTGCAGCACATTATTTCACCAGATCAGATTCATTTGACGATAAACCCTGGTTCTACGCCCATGCCAAGAAACATTGAAGGTGCAACCCTAACTCTGCAGTCGGAATGTCCAGAAACAAAACGTAAAGAAGTAAGTAAAGCAGAGGGCGAGAACCCAGTTTTCACTTTTCGCTTTGGGGCAAGACTTTTCCAGCTCTTGTGGGTCATTTTAGCTGAGAGTAAAGGAGTTCCTGGGATTGGGACCTGCGGTGGTTCTTGTTGGAACAAGACATGTATGCTTCATATTTTATTGGACTGCTTTCTGGATCTTTTGGGTTATATGACCATATTCAGACTTGGAAATTCTAAATTATACTCTCAAGCTTTCCTTGATCATAAAATAGAAATTAGATTGAAATTAATGTTTCTGATGTGTAAATAAATCGACTTGGCTTATCAGAGTGAAATAACTATATTTGACTTACCTTTGAGTTGTGTATAGATGGCTTGTTTTGGAGTTGAGTTGTCTGCAGGAATATGCTTCATTTGCTTGGTGAGTGTGTAATGAGTATTACTGAAGGGGCAGCTTTCTTAAGACATTCATGCAAGGGACAGTAAATGAGAGCAGATTATCTGAAATAAGTGTGTTCATATTTAATTAATGTGAGTGAGGTAGTGCCTATCAAAATGCTTTGAAAACTTGAAGGCTTCTACCGGCTGTACTAGTGGTGATGCTTATCAAGATAAAAGACACAGTTTAGGGGTAGTCAAGCAGATTATCTAGGAACTATTACAGATCAATTAGAAAAAATTAAGTCGCTGGTAGTTCCGGTGTCATCAACTAGATATTACCAAGCAGGAATAAATTATTTAGCAAAATTCTATAGCAAAATATTTTTTCTTTGGCTGTAATTAAGGTCTTGAAACTGCATCTGGCTTATGCGTGGCCTGTGACCTTCGCTTTGCTAGCCTTAGGATCTCAGGGCTGGAAGGAACCTTAGGGAGCCATCTTGTCCTAACTCTCAGCCCGTGCAGGAATCTCTGCGGCACCTCTGACATCAGTTCCTCAGTCTCTGGGTGAACACATTCCAGAATGATGAGAGCACAGTGTGATTGACCACTTCCAGCACAACCCAATACATTTCTCAGTCAGCTCTGATGGCTAGAAAGCTTGTGCTTGTATAGAACCAAAATCTGCTTTCTTGTGCCACCCGGGGTGATAGTTTTCCTTCCTAAGTAGTTTTCCTCACATAGGACAGCTCATCAGATATTTAGAGATTCTAGGTTTCTCTTGCACAGGCCAGACTCTGTCATTTACTTAAATATCCCTTCGATGACATTTTCTCTCACTCCACTGTCAACCTGTTCACTTTTTTTTTTTTTTTAAGAAATTTATTTAGCCAGCACCGTGGCTCAATAGGCTAATCCTCCGCCTGTGGCGCCGGCACACCAGGTTCTAGTCCCAGTCGGGGCGCCGGATTCTGTCCTGGTTGCTCCTCTTCCAGTCCAGCTCTCTGCTGTGGCCCAGGAGTGCAGTGGAGGATGGCCCAAGTGCTTGGGCCCTGCACCCCATGGGAGACCAGGAGAAGCACCTGGCTCCTGGCTTTGGATCAGCGCAGCACGCCGACCACAGCGGCCATTGCGGGTGAACCAACGGAAAAGGAGGACCTTTCTGTCTCTCTCTCTCTTTCAAACTGTCCACTCTGCCTGTCCAAAAAAGAAAAAAAAAAAAAAAAGAAAAGAAATTTATTTGAAAGAGAAAAGGAGGGGGAGATGGAGAGAGATCTCTCTCATCCCATGGTTTACTCCCCAAATAACCACAACATCTAGTGCTAGACCAGGCCAAAGCTAGGAGCCAGGAGTTCCATCCTGGTCTCCCATGCTGTGGCAGAAGTCCAGGTTCTAGGGCCATCTTCCGCTGTCTTTGCAGTTGCATCAGCAGGATGATGGACAAGAAGCTGGGACTTGAACTGGCACTTTGATATGGGATGCCAGCTTTGTAAGCAGTGGCTTTAACCCACTGCGCAACAGTGCAAGTCCCAGCCTAGTCACCTTTGATTATATGAATTCCAGATTTCCAAAGTCCTTTTAAAATCCTGAGTTGAGCACAATCTCACAAGTGTGAGTCAACTAGCACTGAATATGCTGAATACAGTGTGGCTCTCATCTCTTGATCGGGACACTGTACTACAATTACTACGTACTCTGTATTTTATCAGCAACAACATCTTACTGTTAGCTTGTACTGTTAGCCTGGAAACCTCTAGAATAGTGTTTTCAACTGGAACAGTCCCCTTCCCCGCCCAGGAGACATTTGCTGATTCCTGGAGACATGTTTGGTTGTTACACTGAAGAGATGCTACTGGAATCTAGTGGGCAGAGGCTAAAGATGCTGTTGAATACTTTACAGTGCACAGGACAGCCCCCAACAACGAAGAATTGTAAGCTTAACACATGAACGATGCTGAGACTGAGAAACCCTGTCCTAGATTATTCTCATGTCTGCAATGGCCAAGTCTTTAAAACAAAAAAAATTATCTTACTTATTTGAAAGTAAGAGTTAGAGAAAGAGAAAGACCACCTCCATCCACTGGTTCACTCCCTGAATGGCTGCAACAGCAAGGACTGGACCAGGCTGAAGCAGGAGCCTGAAGCTATCTGAATGTCCCACATGGGTGACAGGGGTGCAGGCACTTGGACCATCTTCTGCTGCTTTCCCAAGTCTTCAACAATTGAATGTGGAGACCAGTGCATCAGCCATAAGAATATCTTGTTAGTTTTAGCTCCATATTTGAGCTTATAAAGGTTCATTTCAACTGAACCAAAATTCATGAAGCGAGGTGCTATTATGACTCTGTGGGGCTGCAGATGATTCTGATGCTATGCAGTATAGAAGTAGAAAGACATTTACAGCATTTATGTTTATAGAATCAGACCCATGGGCCAGCACTGTGGCTCATTTGGCTAATCCTCCGCCTGTAGCGCCGGTACCCCGGGTTCTAGTCCTGGTTGGGGTGCCGGATTCTGTCCCAATTGCTCCTCTTCCAGTCCAGCTCTCTGCTGTGGCCTGGGAAGGCAGTGGAGGATGGCCCAGGTACTTGGACCCTGCGCCCACATGGGAGACCAGGAGGAAGCACCTGGCTCCTGGCTTCGGATCGGCATAGCGCACCGGCCGTAGTGACCATTTGGGGGGTGAACCAACGGAAGGAAGACCTTTCTCTCTGTCTCTCTCTCTCACTGTCTAACTCTGCCTGTCCAAAATGAAACAAGATAAGACAGAATCAGACCTGTGTGGTCAGTAAGAAGGAGAAATCACATATGTCACATGGGAGCCCAGAGAATCTCACCCTTAGCTTTGGGATCAGGCAGGTCATCATGAAAAAGGAGGTATTGGAGCTGGTTTTATAAGGTATCCATAATTTAGGGGAAAAAAGGCAAGGGAATGTCTTTCCAAGAGATGATAACAGCATAAAGAAAGAGAGGTGGAAAACACAGGCTGTTTTCAAGGAATTGCCAGTTGTGCTATTATAACGGAGGGCAGCTTACTTCCTGTTTGAAGGGCTAAAGAGTGGCTGTTCTAGGGGTGTAGCAGGTAATGCTGCTGCTTGGCAGTGCCAGCACCCCATATATGGGCACCAGTTCGAGACCCAGCTCCTCCACTTCTGTCCAACTCCCTGCTAGTGCACCTGGGAAAGTGGTGGAAAACGGCCTCTGCACCCTCGTGGGAGACCCAGAAGAATCTCTTGGTTCCTGGCTTCAGATTGGCTCAGCTGCAGCCATTTGGGGAGTGAACCAGTGGATGGAAGATCTTCTCTCTGTCTCTCCACCCCTTTACCCCTGCTATTTTGTGTTTCAAATAAATAAATAAATCTAAATTAAAAAATAAAAAGAATGGCTATTCTAAGCTTTGCAGACAATATGCTGTCTGTTGCAATTGCTCAACTCTTCCATTGTAGCACAAACAGCCATAGACAGTACACAAATTAGTAAGCATGACTGTGTTGTGATAAAACTTTATAGAAGCAGGCAGCAGCCTGAATTCAGCTCCTGGACTAGAACCCTTGGACTAGAACATAGGGAGTAGTAGGAGATAAGGATGGAAAGATAGCAAAGATCCAAACATGGAAGGTAGTGATCATATGCTGAGGGTTTTGGACTGTATCCTGGCAGTGGTGAGAAACCTTTGGAGGTGCTGGGCCAAAGAGTGATGTGGTAGCATTTGGAGAAGATTCCTCTGGCAGCAGCGGTGGCTTAGAGGCAGAGGGAAACTGGAGACTTACTGCCCAGTTAGGAAACAGTCGTAGTTTAGGTTTTGTGTTTTATCTAAGTCTAATGAAGGAGTGGCTTTATACATGGAAATAATCAAGAGCTCTTTTAGAGGTATGAGTGAATTTGGCATGTTACTGGAGTTTGAAGTGTGAGCTGTGATTCAAAGGTTTTGAACATTGGTTGAAATGATTCATCCTTTTTTCCAAGTGTGTTCAATTTCTTCTGTGCCCTAGCACAGCTGACTGATGGGGTTTCAAATCTAGGTGAAAAGTAGTTAGAATCCACTATTCGGGGGCGGTGCTGTGGCATGGCGAGTAAGGCTGCCGCTTGCAGTGCCGGCATCCCATATGAGCGCTGGTTTGAGACCCAGCTGCTCCACTTCCAGTCTAGCTCTCTGCTATGGCCTGGGAAAGCAGTGGAAGATGGCCCAAGTGCTTGGGCCCCTGCACCTGCTTGGGGAAACCCAGAAGCAGCTCCTGGCTTTGGATCGGCCCAGCTTAGGCCATTGTGGCCATTTGGGGAGTGAACCAGCAGATGGAAGACCTCTCTCTCTCTGCCTCTGCTTTTCAAAAAAATTAATTTTAAAGAAAAAACTCTCTACATTAGGTTTTTGTTTTTTTTTTGTTTTGTTTTTTTTTAAGATTTATTTATTTGAGAGACAGAGTTACAGACCGAGAGAGAGAGAGTTCTTCCATCTGCTGGTTCACTCCCCAAACAGCCGGACCTGGGCCAATTCGAAGCCAGGAGCCAAGAGCTTCTTCCAGGTCTCACACGTGTGCAGGGGTCCAAGGACTTGGGCTATCCTCCGCTGCTTTCCCAGGCACGTAGGCAGGGAGCTGGATCAGAAGTAGAGCAGCCGGAACTTGAACCAGTGCCCATATG